CTTTATTTTATTTATTTACATGCAGGGCTGAGAATCAAACCCACTGCCTCAAACATGCCAGGCAAGAATACTACCACTGAGCCCCAGCCCCAGCCCCACACCCATCATATTTAAATAAAGAGCTTTGAGTTCTTTTTTTCCTATTTGTATCCCTTTAATGTCTATCTAATTGCTCTGGCTAGAGTTTCAAGGACTATGTTGAATAGGAGTGGTAAGAGAGGGCATCCCTGTCTTGTTCCAGTTCTTAAAGGGAATGCCTCCAATTTTTCTCCATGTAGAATAATGTTGGCCTTGGGCTTAGCACAGATAGCTTTTACAATGTTGAGGTATATTCCTACTATCTCAAGTTTTTCTAGTGTTCCAAACATGAAAGGGTGTTGTATTTTACCAAATGCTTTTTTCTGTATGTATTGAGATGATCATATGATTTTTATCTTTAAGTCTATTGATGTGATGAATTATGTTTATTGATTTCCTTATGTTGAACCAACCTCGCATCCCTGGGATGAATCCCACTTGATCATGGTGCACTATTTTTTAATATGTTTTTGAATGCAATTTGCCAAAATTTCATTGAGAGTTTTTGCATCTATGTTCATCAAGGTTATTGGTCTAAAGTTTTCTTTCTTTGATGTGTCTTTGTCTGGCTTAGGTATCAAGGTGACAACTAGCCTCACAGAATGAGTTTAGGATTCCCTCCTTTTCTATTTCATGGAATAATTGAGGCATATAGGTATTAATTCTTCTTTATAGGTATTAATTCTTCTTGTAGAACTTGGATGAGAATACGTCTGGTACTGGGCTTTTCTTGGTTGGTAGGCTTTTGATTGCATCTTCTACTTCATTTCTCAAAATAGATCTGTATAAATATTGTGTATGTCTTCCTGATTCAGTTTGGGCAGCTCATATTTCTCTAGAAATTTGTCAGTGTCTTCGATATTTTCTATTTTATTGGAGTATAAATTTTCAAAATAGCTTCTAATTATATTCTGTATTTCCATTGTATCTGTCGTGATATTTCCTTTTTCATCACAAATTTTAGTAATTTGAGTTTTCTCTCCCCTTCTTTTCATTAGGGTGGCTAAGGACTTATCAATTTTATTTATTTTTTCAAAGAATCAGCTTTTTGTCCATTGAGAAAAAAGCTTTGTCAGTTTTTTCAATTGTTTCTTTTGTTTTGATTTCATTGATTTCAGCCCTGATTTTCATTATTTCCTTTCTTCTACTACTTTTGGTGGTGAGGATGTGGAGAAAAAGGTACACTCATACACTGCTGGTGGCACTGCAAATTAATGCAACCATTATGGAAAGCAGCATGGAGATTCCTTAGAAAACTTAGAATGGAACCACCATTTGACCCAGCTATCCCACTCCCTGGTCTATACCCAAAGGAGCATACTATAATGATGCAGCCACATCAATGTTTACAGCAGCTCAATTCACAATAGCTAAACTGTGGAACCAACCGGTTGATGCCCTTCAACAGATGAATGGATAAAGAAACTGTGGTTCATATACTCAGCATTAAAAGAGAATAAAATTATGGCATTTGCAGGTAAATGGATGGAGTTGGAATATATCATGGTAAGAGAAATAAGCCAGTCACAAAAAACTAAAGGCTGACTATTCTCTCTGATAAGTGGATGCTGACCCATAAGAGGAGGGTCAGGGGGAGAATGGAGAAACTTTGAATGGGCAAAGGGGAAGGAATGAAGGGCATAGAAAAGATGGTGGAATGAGATGGACAACATTACCCTAGGTACATGTATGACTGCACATGTGGTGTCTTTGGAAGACCGCATTGTATCTCTGTAATGATACACAACTGCAGAGAAATGAAAAGTTGTGCTCCATTTGAGTACAATGAATCAAAATGCATTCTGCTATCATGTATAACAAATAAGAAATAGAAAATAAAAAATAAAGAAATAAAGAGCTTTGCAAATGGGGATCTAGTTGATTTTCTTCCATAAATTATACTACAAAAAATGAAGTAAGGTAGTTACGTCATCATCTATGATAAGTTAGTAGATTTTATCTAACTAATTTATAGGAACTCAGCTCAGAAATTGGGTGAATGCAAAGAATTGTGGTTCTTTAAAGACACCAATATTTGCTGATGCAAGTGTTTGAAATGGTACCACTGCTTGTCCTTAATTAACTTTTCCTAACTAAAAACCTAAGGTTAAACAAGACATAAAGTAGGCTGGGATTGTAGCTAAGTGGAAGGGCTCCTGCCTAGCCTGTGTGAGGCACTGGGTTCCTTTCTCAGCACCACATATAAATAAACAAAATGAAGTCCATCGACAGCTAAAAAATGATAAAAAATAAGACATAAAGTGCTCTATGGCCTATCCATAGTTTTCACTGGGTAATTTAGATTTCATACAAACCATCCTTTATTTTAAGAGTAGTTTGTTTATTAGAGAAAAAAAAAAAAAAGCACACACCTCAAACCAAATCTCCAAGCCATATTTTTTCCTAACACAGAAGGAGGCCTCTCTGGAGGTATTTCCAGACTTACCACTTAACAGTGAGTGGTGCAGCCAAAAATAAACCCATGTGGACTTTCCTAAGCAAATTCAACAGCACACCAACTACTACTTCATGGAGAGCTGGCTTTGCTTTTTCCCAAATAGCCTCTCAGAGGACCCCCACCCACATTCCATCTCCTAATTAGAAAGCTAATTAGGATTCCAATTTTAAATGCTAAATGGAGAGGGCGATCTGGTAGCAGGCCAGGATTCCCTGAACATCAAAAGCTCTCCTCTGTCCTGTTAGTGCAGTGAGTGTGGGAAGAGAGCTGGGGCCACAGGGACCTTTGGGCCATTTGACTTGCTGAGGGGCAGTGTTTACTCTCATTTGTCTGAGACAGAAGATGTGTTGAACAAACTGTAAACTCTGAAAAAAAACAACAAAAAAATTAAAAACCACCAAAAACATGCCTTGGCATTTAGGTACTTTAAGGAAAAGAAAGAAGTATCTTTTTTGTAAACCCAATTATTATCATGGTGACATAAGGGGCCGTAAGGAGTTCCCCTCAAGAATGGTTCCTAGTTTCAGCCAGGCAGCTTCTCAATAGTGTGGGGCGACTTCTTCAGTTACCATGACAACCAAAATTAGAAGGGCTTTTGCAACACTAACAGAAACCATCTTTTGAAGCGCTTCTGTGAATCACATTGAATGCTGATGATGCAAGCTTGTGCGATACATATTTTTCAAATATTTTTTTAAAAAACCCTGTTACCATAAACAAATATTCGCTTTAGAGTCCCATTTGAAATCTTGGAACAAAAAATTTCGGCTGGTTTTGTTTGTTTCCCTTTTGGATTCCCGTGGCCTGGAGTGCAAACGCGATTTGTTTAATATCCAAACTTGTTTGCATTACACGGCTGAGAGCTTAGAATATGATTCATTCGCTCTTATTTTGAAACGGGGTGAGGAATGGGGTGGGGGAGGGTGGGTCTAACATAGAGCCCTCTTGTCCATTAAACTCTGGGAGGACGCAAACGCGGAGACCGAGAAAGGGGGAGAGTGGGGCTTGAATGGGAATGGGGGTGCGGGAAGAAAAGAGGGGGAGAGGGGAAGAGGAAAGGAGCTAAGGGGGGAAAAAGTACAGAGGGCTGAATCTTGGTTGCGCTAAAAGCATCTTTAGCGATTGCCTTGACCTCTCCATCTGCCCAGATAGCATGCGGAAGCTCATCAGAAATCGGCTTTTTAAAAACCCCATTGGGATTCTTTCTTGGTGGCATCGCCAGTCCTCGATGTCCTACAATTCCTGGAGGGCTATTCGGGAAGATAGTAGAGGCTCCTCCTAACTTTGCTCGGTCTTCCAGAAGAAGCACCTTTCTCTAGGGAGAGTCGTGATGCCGGGTGTGGCAGGAGCGATGTCCACCTCCAGCCTGGCTTGCGCCCGTGGGGAGGTCACACAGGTCCCCAGACCTGTTACAAACTAACGGATTTGCGGGTGCGCACGGTCAGCTGTGCCAGCACAGCACAGTCAGCGGTGCTCAGACGCGCAGACAGACAAGGGCGCCTTATAGGACTGGGGCACAGACCCGCGAGCACGCCCTCTCCTCTTGCGCGCTGATCCATCCGAGGGAGGAGGAATGAGGACGCCCCAAGGAGCGCCCAACCTTCTCCTGACCCCACTTCACTGCCACACTAGTCCCCAACGTGTGTCTCTCTTTCTCTTAGAGGTCTCGGGGGAGGAGAGGTGTCCCCAGTGCAGCCAGCCAGGTCTGCAGCCGGGCAGACAGGCGGGCAGGGGTAGGGGGACTGGCGACGAGCCCGCCGCCCCTCGCTTACCTCAGTCTGGAGGCCGGCTACCTGGCTTTGCTGCGCGGTGCCGGGCTAGGAGCGCGGGGTGGCCGGTGCTGGGGCAGGGACGGGTGCGCAGGGGTGTCCCAGCGCGCGGGCGTCGCGGTGGCGCGCGAGGCTCCGCGAGCTGTCAGGGGCGGCCAACTTGACACACTCAGCCCAGCAAACCGCGCCTATTGGCCCCAGCTGGGCCGCGGGGACCGAAGCCCCCCTCAGCGTTTCCCGAAGGACCAATCCCGAGCTAGGGGCCGGCCCAGGGACGGGTAAAGGAGGGCCGGCCGGGCGCCGGGACGCGGGCCTGGACCTGGCAGGCGGGTTTCTATGGCAGCCAGGAGGGAGGGGCGGGAAAGAGGAGGGCGTGCGGCGCAGGGACACCCATTGCAGACGCTCCGGGAGGGGATTCGGGCCTGCTGTAGAGAGGATTCCTCCTAGAGGGTGAATGGGAAGGGGCATAGCAGCCGGAGGGTTGACAAAGGTCGTATCAATTTAACGTGAGCGGAGCCGCGCGTCAGCTCCAGAGCGAGGCTTTTGGTGTCTTTGGAAGACCGCAACACGGTAATCCTCCCAACCGATCGGGAGTTTCTGGCAAAGTATTGTGACAGCTTCTACGGGTGAGTCTGGCAAGGTTTAGTCTCTGCAGAAATACTAATGCCACCCCTCTGCCTGGCTTCCTGGCATACATGGGGCCTGGGCCTCGTGGTGCCACTTTGGAGTCTCCCTAAAACCTTGCCTACTCCCAGCTGTGATCCTCTAATATTAGGTGCCAAATATTATTTTTCCAGTTTACAAACAAGGAAACAAGTCGCTGCACTGAGTGTAGAGCTGGGAATTCAATTCACAGAATGCTAAGCGTAGAAGGTATTTATTGACGTGTAAGCCCTCTATTTTACAGTGGAGGAGCTGAGTTCAAAGAGGTCAGTTGATTTGGCAAGAGTCACACAGCTAGTTAGGGCAGAGCCAGGAGTAGACACCCTAAGTTATAGCTCTGTGAGCAATCTTTCCACTTCCTCATGTTACCTATCCTGTATTCATCATTTCCAGGGCAATATGTACAAGAACAAAAATGAGGAGGAGAAAAATAACCTGTCCAAAATTCTTTTATGGTAGAAATTGAGGGATATACAAAGATGATGATGATGATGGCGGCTACTTGTTAGGCATTGTTTTACAAAAATCAGTTCATTAGGTACTCACAATATCTATGATTTAGGTTCTGTTATTACCATCCTGTTTTGACAGATGAGGAAACTGAGGCCTAAAGAGGTCATATGACTTGCTCAAGGTCACACAGCTGTAGAATGCTGGTGCAGGGACAGAAGCCCAGGTCATGTGACTCTAAGAGATGGTCCTCATCCTTGCTACACATCTCTGCTACCTCTCTGTGTGATGATTACAGGGGTCAGGAACAGGCAGGGCAAGGAATAAAACCTTGGACAGCTCCATGCACTGGCCATTGGCAGGAAAACCAAAAGAACTTTAAACAATTGCTTCCTTGGTTTATGACAATAATTATGTAGGATAAGTATTCTCTATGAGAAATATTTGTTTTTAAGGAAAAGACAAGAGTTATTTTTAAAAGAATAATTTTTAAAATAGTACATGCCCATTTTCTTTATAAAGGCAATAAAATACAATGCAAAATATTGCATTTTTAAAAAGACATGGAATACCCCTTGAATCCTACAACATGACAATACACAGGATAAAATTCTATAGGGAAATTGCCTAGAAACCAAGAACCTCAAAAAATCCCAATTTGATGTCGTCTCTGTGCACTGGCTTTCACATAATGCCCACAAAAAACAAGGAAAAATTAAAACTGCATTAGAAATCATGTCTCCTGAAGTCAATTTGCCAGACCTGGTTTCAGGATCCTGCCCCTGCACGTTTACCTTTTCTGCTACATTCTAGGTAATGACTTCAGATCTATTTTCTGTTTCACTAATTCTCCCCAAAGCTGTTTAACCTCTATGTTACCTTTATAAACCTTGAGAATGCAACTATAACTAACAAACCCAGAGGTGGGAGTATGAATGGGCCAGTTTCAGCATTTTCACAGGTTGGGATAATTGATAGTTTAAAATGGAATCGCTTATTTACAACTAGTGTTTACTAAAATCCTTTTTCCTTAACTTTACAGGAACCTTTTAGGAACTAATATTTCCTGTGATGAAGAAACATTTATCTGAAATTTATTCTGCTTTCTTTCTTCTTTCTGTTAAATTCTAGCAAAATTAAACAGAAAGAATTAAAACTAGCATGGTAGTCCTGTTTGTAAAATCAGTCTCTCTCTCTCTCTCTCTCTCTCTCTCCCTCTCTCTCTCTCTCTCTCTCTCTCTCTCTCTCTCTCTAGTGTGTGTGTGTGTAGATAGATATCTGGAATGACATACATCTAATGTTAATAATAGTTATTTCTGATTAATGGATTTTGTGTGCTTTTTTTAAACTTACTTATTCTAAACTAAGTAATTCTTTTACTTTAGCAGATCTAATTTAACAACAACAAAAGGAAAATGAAAAAAAGGTTGCAAAATTTAGTGGCTTGAGTGAGGGGCCACTACCTCTCCCTCTGCCACTCAGCTTAAATTCTATTGATATTCTGAGTATTTTTGTTTGTTTGTTGTTTTTGTGGTACTGGAGTGTGAATCCAGGGATGCTCTATTTCTGAGCTACATCAGTCCCCAGTCCTTTTAATTTTTTTGTTTTGAGACAAGGTCTCACTAAATTGCAGAGTCTGGCCTTGAACTTGTGATCCTCCTGCCTCAGCCTCTGAGTCCCTGTGATTGCAGTTGTGCAACACCATGCCCAGCTCTCCAAACTTTTCTTGAATGTGAAGTCATGTATAGCAATGACTGTGAAAGTTTCTTATGAATGGCGTTTGGTTATTATTTTCAACTGGACAATGAAGAATAGCTGAAGCCTCTAGGTCCATTGATACTTAACAAAGTTACCTATTATATTTTTAATCAAATTACTTTCATTTGAAAAAAGCACTTAGACTAAGGTTCTAAACCTGTATTACTTTCTGTATTATTTCCTAGTAGTATCTGAAGTCATATGTGACTTAGATAACTATTGTTTCACATAACACAATTATTCTTCTAATATAGCTGATCTACCAGGCCTCTAAACCAGAGTGAGTAATCAACTGTTTTCCTAAGTGAGCTCAATTCATACCTACCTCTTGGAAAGTATTGGTTAACATTTTGTGTCTAAAGTATATCTGAGTTACCCAGAAGAAGCAAAAGTATACCTGGTTAATTAGTCTGATTTGGGGGGTTCTTTGTGTTTTATTGTTCTCTAGCATTTCATCTTTGTGGCATTTTCATTTCAAATATAAAAACATTTAGCTACTGAGAATAAGTAGAATGTTCTGGATTGATACTAAAAACCCTAAAACTCCGAGGCTGGGGTTGTGGCTTAGTGGTAGAGTACTCACCTATCACATGGGAGGCACTGGGTTTGATCCTCAGCACCATATAAAAACAAAGAAACAAACAAATAAATAAAGGTATTGTGTTCATTTACAACTAAAAAAAATTACCAAAAAAAAAAATACAACCTAAAACTTGTCTCAGTCCAGCCATCATAGAGGCTAACTTAAACAATAGGTAACAAACAAAATGTTTCTTTAACAACACCTGGCTGATTTATGAAAAGAAGAGGCCCCCAGAAAGGTCCGTTCCAGGGCTGGGAATATAGGCCAGTTGGTAGAATGCTTGCCTAGTGTGCACAAAGCCCTCGGGTTTGTCCCCAGCACCACAAAAATAAAAACGGTTCTACTGGCCAATCCATTGAACTTCCTTGAGGTGCCCTCTGTTCGTTCTCCCAGTGTGGTCTCAGGACTAACAGCATCAGTATTTTTACTTGGGAACTTGTTAGAAATGCATATTCCAGGGCCCTAACCCAGAACAACAAATTCAGCAGGTCTGAGTATGGGGTCCAGCAAGGTATTTACAAGATTCTGATAATCTGCTAAAGTTGGAGAACTGTGGAGAGACAAGACTCCGTGAGAAGGACCCCAGGTTTGTTCCAAGAGTATGTGTGTGTGTGTGTGTGGGGGGGGTGCTATTGTCCTCCCAAAGAAGACCAACTTGGGAAAGTCAGATACCTGAATGGGCGTTTTTAGGGAGAGAAAGGAGGTGCAGAGTGAGAGTGGGCAGGAAGGCTGAGCAGGGTCTTTATCATATAGGGAGTGTGCTCCCCTGCCCCTTGGCCAGAACATCAAAGTCAACCTTCACCTTCAGGTGCTTGTTTCTGTAAGTTTTTAGACGAATGCATTACTTTTCTGCAAGGTAAGCATCATCTTACACATTCTCATATAATGGAAAAGTCACCAGATGTTCTGGATTCTATAAATCTGAGCAAAAATTCTTTAGCAGTTAACATCTTAATCATTTAGGCACTGTTTTTGAGTTTACAATGACATGGAAAGAGAGGGGTAATAACTCTGCAAAGGACTATTCACAAAAGTGGCTCTGTTACATATATGTGTTGCCTCAGGGAAGAGAGGTATTAAAAGATGATATGCTGCATTTATCTTGCCTTCTCTTATCTCCTCCACTCCCAGTTCCATCAAGGGCTGGTATAGATTCCAAAAAGAAAGTGTTATGATTTGAATCCGAAGTTCCTCTAAAATTTGTGTATTTGACCAAGGCTTGGTTACCAGTTTGTGGTGCTGTTGAGAGAGGGTGGGATCTTTGGGTACTGGGGCTCCATTGGAGGAAGTAGATCTGGGGGCAAGCCTCTGAAGGGTGTATTTTGTCCATTTGCTTCTCTGCCTCTTTTCCCTTCTTCTCTCCTCCTGTTCCCAGCTGCTATGAAGTGAGCAGTTCTGCTCCACTACTTGCTCTCTGTCATGATGTTCTGCCTCACCAAAGGTCCAAAGTGAAAGGGTAAAGAGACCATGAACTGAAACTGAGCCAAAATAAATTCCTCCTTTAGGTTGATTTTCTCAGGTATTTTGTCACAGCAATGAATATCTAACACCTTATGCTTTATGCAATCCAATGTCAATTTCAAAGACATCTCTTAGAGAGAGAATTCTATTTTGTATCAGGAGCATAGTCTGTAATGTGGGGGTGGGGCATAAGGAGTCCAGCTAACCTCAGTTCAAATACTGGTTCCACTCTTACCTACTGTTTCTCACCCCCTTCCTCAAGTTCCTTCATTTATAAAATTTGAGAAAATAACAAAGTGACCTCATGGAGTAGTTGAGATAACTAAAAGTGTTCACTGCATAATTCATAAATGATAGCTATAATGTTGAATGAAATAGTCACTGACTGGGAGTTTGTGGAGGTCTCCAGGAGTGGAGGACACCTCTACTCTGACCCTTCATTTTTTTGACCACCTCACAGAGAAGAATTTAAGGACTGACAGGTCCAAAGTAGAGAAAGAGATTTATTGTAGAAAGTTCATGTTCAGAATGAGAATGTGGGCAATCTCAGATCCTTGTTCACCTATTCTGGGCTTTTAACATTTATAGAGGAATAGTAGTTAGGGGACCAAAATAGAGTGAAGTCAGGACCAGGTTACATACTTTTGTGCTAATTTTCCTTGCACTTGCACATTGCTCTTGCATGTTATAATCATGCATCTCCACCCACCTGGGGTATTAAATCTCTACCTAGGGTTGTGTGTCTTGCTATTATAATGAGACTAAGGTCATTCTCAGTTTCCAAAGTCTTTAATGGCACATTCTCTAAAGGAGTGGTTTGTCCAGATGCCTCATGGTTATCTTGTGGTTCTAGTACTTTCTCATCAGCTGGCAAGCCAAAGAGAAGTACACAGGGTACACTAGGTTACTTCTAAGTTGTTCTGCATTCCAATGGTGTACGGGTGTTCTCTTGGGATTCTGTTCTCTCTGTATCTCTAAATTCCTATCTCAAAGTTTTTCTTCCCCAGGCTACATTCTGGTAGAAATATCAAGGTAGGGATTACTTTAGTTCAATATTTATGTCATATTAGGTTGTAAGAAAGTCAAGGAGAAAAAGAATCAGTTTATCATGTTGTCCCACTTACTATGTCAATAAGGATTAATGGAAGAGTTTATAGGACACAGTAGAATTTCAAATATCCTATTTAGTCTATACTTATGACATTATCTGCACTCATGGTTTTAAAGTAATATACTTCTAAGCCTCTAGCTTTAAAGATCTCATTAATGGTAATGAAAAAGTTTTGATAAGTTTTAATTCTGCTGTTTCCCTTTGAATCCTTTATGACAAATTTAAGAGCTACAGGACAACTCAGTGCATTACACATGAAAAAGATTTAGCCTGTCCCTCTCTGGATGTAATTAAAACAACGGTTAGTGTTAATGATTTCAAAGCTCTATTTTCTCTAACAAAATCAGGCTAAATTTTCAGTCACTGCTCTACCGCTGAGCCACAATCCCAACCCCAGTTTATGTTTTTT